CACCAACCTTTAATTGCTAGGGCTTCATAGCTGCCACACATGATTAAGGCTCCAAGACTAGCTATCATTGCATCAAAATACATCAACTTATAAAGTTCACTCAATAACCATTTAAAACCTCTCAAAAATTTGAAAGAAAAGACTAAAAGAATCATTGTTGCTTAAGTCTTCCACATCAAAGTTCTTCTTTTCTTTCCTTCATTCTTCTCTATAATAATACTACCCATTAGAACATTTATAAAATGGCATCAGTAAAATATCCTACCATCATATTAGGATTTATACAATCAAATCACTTTAAACTCTGTCTTTTACCTTTTCTAGCTTTATGTTTTGTTTTACAACATTAACTTTCATTTTCTACATTTTTTAGTGAGTAAATTTGGTCATAGTGATTTGCTAACCTCTATCTCAAATCGCGGAACTCATTCATTAATAACCAAGTATGTTACTAATTTTTGTTATCAATATTTGACATTATTTATGTGAAACTAGTGAAACACCATTATGAAAAGAAGATTATAAGAGACAAAACTCCAACTCCAAATATCCTTCAAAGTAATCCTTGCGTATCATTCAATACTCAACTATAACATTAAAAAAAAAAAAACTTTATTTATAATACATTTATCAACTAGAACCAACTTGATGCTCACTTTTGAGACATTATAAGGACGTATTATTAGCCTCGCATGGCTCTTAGGATTTATTTTTAGTACCAACCTTCATATGTGAATTTTTATCTCTTTCATCCTTCTCTTCCCTTATATTGGGATCGTTGACACCCTGACATCCATGTACCTTTTCATTCCATCTCCTACTTCAATATGGTGTCCTTTTACGGTAGAAATTTTAGAGGAATTCTAACCTAATAAGTTGAAGCTTTTTATTTTGTAAACCTGCAATGGGAACACTAATAATCATATTAGTATGTGTGAAAATATGATGTCCTTATATAATATGTTTTCCACTAGCAAGTGCAAGGTCTTTACCAACACTCTAGGAGATGGTGATAGAGGAGTTCAATTCTCAACTACCTCCAATTTTTGCTCTTTCAAAGCATTCTCTCTCTCTCTCTCTGGTTTACCTCATAGTTTTTGAAAATGAAAAGAACAATCAAGGATCTTAAGTCATTCTTATATTTAACATTTGATGGAAGGGGCGTCCTATTGAGTAACATAAGTATTTTAATAAGTATAATATTAATGTTACTAATAATGAATAACATCGTGAAAGTTTTATTTATAGTGGGTCTACACCCAAGAGTTTCCAAGTTCCTAGCTAAGAATTAGTTATGTAATGTCATATTATTGTGTACATCATAAATCATTTGAGTCATGAAAATACATATCATTATCATCAACTTGGTGAATCTCCTATTTATTGATGCCATCGATAAAATAATGATGGTCATTAAGAATATCATGGATGTTATGGTAGAATATTTTTTGGAGAAATGATTCCTCAATGGAATCATAATTTTGGAAGTTATTTAAATATATTTTATTTATGTTGAAATTAAATAAAACTAGGGAATTAATGAGTAGTATCTAATGTAGTAAGTACTCTAGTACTTGCCGCTCCCTTATCTTTCACTCTTGTTGGTAAATTTGTGTTACAAAGATCGAACTTGGATGTCATTCGCAAATTTTTCCATACTCTAAAACTGTCGGGTTCTTTTAATGTTGGTTTGTTAGATCCCAGGCATATAGCTATACAATTGTCTAACGATTTAGATTATAGCCGTATTTTTTCTCGCCGATCTTACTACATCCAAGGTTGTCAAATGAGGTTACTTAAATGGTCATCGAATTTTGATGTGAGGGAGGAATCTCCCATTGCTCTGGTGTGGTAAGCTTTTCTGAACCTTTGCCTGCATTTTTTTAACACGCAAATTTTATTTGGTCTTGCTTCTGTTTTCGGTAGGCCTTTACAGACTAATCAAGCTACTGCATCTCTTTCTAGGCCGTCTGTGGCTAGAGTTTTAGTTAAACTAGATGTTACGAAAAAGCATTCGCAGGAAATTTGGTTAGGATCTGAGGTGAATGGTTACTTTCAAAGGGTTGAAATTAAAAATTTGCCTATATTTTGTTTCCATTGTAAGATGCATGGTTACGCGGTAAATGAATGTTTTTTGTTTACACCCGAACCTGCGTAAGGATAAAAGTACTTCCAAAAGCGCTGAGAACATTGTTAGCGAGGAATTGCATTTGTCGCTGGCTCAAACAGAGGTTAATACTGTTCCAGTCAATCTGGAATTAGGGGCTTTAAATCGTGAAAATGGTGGGGAAGTGAATGCCATTCCTGATGTTTCTTTATCTATTTTGCCTAAATTTGCTTTTAATATCTCTGATCCTTCTAGCAATGACAATGTTATTAAAGTTATCACTGATCTGATTCCCTCTATGACTGTTGTAGAAGCTGCTCCTAATATTTTAGAACAAGATAAGTGGATAAATGCTGAAACGGTTAACGGTTCGGATGGTTTGGTTGTTGTTCTTGATGTTGGGGATGTTGTCTCATCCAAACCCTTAGAAAATAACCATATTAGTGTTATGGATACTGATGGTTGTAATTCTGTTGTTAATCAAGTTGATCCTCCTCTTATTAATGTTGTTTCCGTTAATGCTTTGATAGACCTCCCCCCTCCTCAGCGGAACATCTCTACGGTGGAAGATGGTGTCCTTTTTTTGGAAGGTGGTAATTCTTCTCTAGATCCTTCAGGTAGTGAGTTGAATAATGAGTTACTTTTATCTGATCATTATCATTGTGATGCTTTTACTGATACGAAAATTCTGGCAAAATGTTATGCTAGAGAGGATAATGATTTGAGTTATTCTAAAGGCCGTGGTAAGAGAGGTAGAAAACCTATAAACATTATTTTGCAGTCCCCGAGGACTACCCGTTCTCATACTTCTCACTAATTTGGTTTTTTATGTTTAACGCAATTATTTGGAATGTGAGGGGGATTGGGTGTCCTTCCTTGAGAATGAGAGTTAAAAATATGTGCCATATTTATAATATTTATGTTCTTGTTTTGCCTGAACCTCTCATTTCTATGGATAAACTTTTGGATACTGCTAAAATTTTGGGTTTTAAGCATGCTTTTGCTAATGAGGCCAATAAAATTTGGGTTTTTTTGGAAAGATTTTGTTAGAGTTGATATTATTGGGAATTATGCCCAAGCTCTTCGCTGTAATATTGAATCTTCGAATTTTCAATGTGTTGCTTCTTTTGTTTATGCTGCCTCTTCTCGGTTTTCTAGAAAAATTTTATGGGAGCAAATTGAAAATCTTCATAGTGTTTGTAATCTTCCTTGGTTGGTTGGTGGTGATTTAATACCATTACTTGAGCAGGTTGGGGGTGCTCTCCCTATCTATCAATCTATGGAGGACTTTAATGATATGATTATGAATTATAATCTTATTGACATTGGCTTTTCTGGTAACAAATTTACTTGGCATCGGGGCCATTTATGGCAACGGTTAGATAGAGTTCTTTTTAACAATGTGTGGATTAATGTTTTTAATTCTACGAAGGTGGAGCATCTTAGTCGTACCCTTTCTGATCATTCTCCTTTGCTTATTAATGTCAAGTTTAATACTTTGGGCTTGTACTCTCAATTTAGATTTCAGAATATGTGTCTTACTCTTGAGTCTTTTCTTAATGTTGTTCAGTGTAATTGGACTGCCCCTATTTTTCCTGATAATTCTATTTCTGGCCTGGTTAGGCTTTGGGCCAAATTGAAAAGGTTAAAACTTGTTCTAAAATGGTGGAACCACAATATCTTTAAAAATATTTTTTCCAATATTATTTTGGTGGAAGAGAGGATTAAATCCCTTGAGGATAGCTATCAAATGGATCCCTCGGCTGCTAATTTTGCTTTTCTTAAGGAGGCCAAACGAGACCTTTGCAATCTTCAATGTCAGGCAGAGATTTTTTGGAAGCAAAAGGCTGCGGTTAAGCACTTGGCGGATGGGGATAATAACACTAAATACTTCCATGCCCTGGTTAATAAGAAGCGTGCTATTAATGGTATTCAGAAAATTGCTCGTGTGGATGGTTCCATTACTGATAATAGTGATGAAATTGCTAATTTGGCGGTTAATTTTTTTCAAAATCACTTTAATAAGGCTTTCATTCCTAGTACTGTTGATGGGCTTTCTTTTATTCCTAAAATTGTTTCTCAAGAGGAGAATAGGAGTCTTTCCTTGTGCCCTCTTTAGGAGGAGATTAAGAATACCTTATTTGATATGAATGCGGATTCTGTTGCTGGTCCGGATGGTTTCACTGTTAAGTTTTTTCAACATTCGTGGCATATAATGTGCTCTAAATGTATCAATTGTCTACTCTATTTTCAACTATAAAGATATAATTTATGGCGGAGAGCTAACAATCTGTTGTGAGACTATGGCTTCATTTGGGATAGCTTTTTTATTGTTTCTTAAATCAATTTTTTAGTACAAAATTTTTGTACTAGGAAGCTTCTTTAAGAAGCAGAAAGAAAACTATCCCAAACGATGCCTATATCTTTTTTCTTAATAAAGATTGAAACCCATCACATATATTTTATATGAGATATAAGGTCGGTTATATTATTATAAGAAGAGTTACTAAATAGAGAAATTATTACGTGCGGAGATCAGGCAGAGAGAACCGTTTGATTTGTCTTTGTGACAAATGTGATTTTATTCTTCATAAAGATAAAACAGAATGGTATTCTGCGCACAATCTTCGCATGTAATAATCTCTCCACTGAATGAAAGGGACTCTTGATTTAAAAATTATAATGAAAATATGCACCAGATTTTTTTTAAAGAAATGATTTAAAAGTTAAATGAAAATATGCGATAACAATTTGTTATAAAAATTGTATAACGAAAGTTGGATTTTCTGTTCATGGCCATCGGTCATACAGTCATACTGCTCATACCTCATGATCATAAATCATTGTCCGGTAAAATTTTTTATTAAAAAAAAAAAAAATCAGCAAAGAATATGTGATATGTGTGGCAGGGAAGCAAAAGACAAAGAACTACGTATACAGTGTTGTGAAGCTTGTGACCTTCAAGAGTTCGACAAAGTCTTCTCTTTCACATTTTGCTAGTTAAATTTCATCTCTCTCTCCTTTTTCTCGATCTTTCGAGCTTTGCTTTTTCAGTTCTTTTCACTGAGTTATAAATCATAAATTTCTCTGACTGGTTAGTCATGCAGGTTCCAGTAATAATATGATATCTTCCGCTTTAAATTTCTCCATCTATGGCAGAAGCTGTTATATGGTTTAATTAATTTGTTGTCTTCTTTCTCCTTTCAATATCTCATTAAGAAGGCTTGTCGACTGACTGCTGTTGATTTGTTTGACAATAAAGCTTTGAAGAAACAAGATCTCTTGCAAAAGATCTTGCTAGTGGTGGGGAACTTTCACAGCTTTAAGTACTTCACTTTTTTTTTTTCATTGCTTTCTTATAATATCATCGGACGCTTAAATTAAAAATTCCCTCTGAAGCAGCTGAAAGATGAAAGGGTTTGCAGTTAAGAAAACCCTAGACATCGATGTCTGTTCAGACCCCACAGCTTCTGACCACCAAGCCTGTCTCTCCTCAATACCAAAACCAACCAGGAAGAGGAGGATCCCAGGAACTCTAGGTCTCTCTCTCTCTCTCTCTCTCTCTCTCTCTCTCTCTCTCATTTGAGCAAAATAAAAAACATATTAATCTGTTTTTAATCCATACTTGCTCTTATCTTAATGATTTTATAAGAGAATTGGCTAACGATAACTAATTAAATATATTCAGATGATATTTATATTTGAGCTACAATATTTCTTTTAATTTAACAAGAAAACACTTTTTGTTGCTGTTAAAAACACTTATTTCTAGTTATATTTCTTTTTGTCATACAATTTATCTCACTCATTAAATTTTTTTTTTCAAATTATGTTTGCTTCACCCTTTTAAATTTCAGAGAAAAATTCAGTTAGTATTTCCTTAAAAAAATTCCTACTAGAATTCCAAGTGAATTACATATATACAATTTACTAAAAATGGATGCAGATCCAAACGCCGAGGTGATAGCCTTATCCCCAAAGAGCTTGCTAGCCACCAATAAGTTTATTTGTGAGGTTTGTGGGAAAGGATTTCAAAGAGACCAAAACCTGCAGCTTCACAGAAGAGGCCACAACCTGCCATGGAAGCTAAAGCAGAGACAGAACAATGAGGTCGTGAGAAGAAAGGTCTATATCTGCCCAGAGCCATCTTGTTCTAATCACTTGCCTTCTCGAGCTCTGGGTGACCTCACAGGCATCAAAAAGCACTTTTTTAGAAAGCATGGAGAGAAGAGATGGAGCTGTGATAAGTGTTCTAAGAAATATGCAGTGCTCTCAGATTGGAAGGCACATTCAAAGATCTGTGGATCAAAAGAGTACAGATGTGAATGTGGAACCATTGTCTCAAGGTATTTAACTGAACATGGCTAGGATTTATTATTATTATTATTAATTTTATGATTTGGTGTTGGATTCTTAATTTTAAGTGTAATTAATTTGTACGTTTTGCTGCTCTATATATAATTATAGAATAATTAACTTTAAGTACATAATACAGCACAGCACAAAAACAGAATAATGAAGTACACTAAGATAATAATTTCTAGGCTTAAATAATCATATTCCTCCTTGTGAACTATTAACATTTTCTCTTGCCAAGATAGTTCCAAGTTTTTTTTATTCATAATTTGTGGATGCAGGAGAGACAGCTTTATCACACACAAAGCCTTCTGTGAAGTATTGGCATTAGAGAAATACACAAGAACAATGAGTGCAAACCAGAACCTGCTTCATCTCCCTCATCCCACAGACTTGCCCAACTTACACATCAACAATAGCTTCTTTTCACCTGGCTTAAGATCAGAAATCCCGCAATGGCTACCATCAATACCTACATCATTCGGTCATCATCAAATAAGCAATCTCAATCATTCAGTCTACTCGTTAAATAGTCCAAGTCATTTCAAACCACCTCCTCTTCCGTCTGATCCAAACTTTTCAGCTACTGCATTGCTACAGAAGGCAGCGGAGATAGAGTCCACTATAAGCAGACCCTCAGAGCTGCATTCATGGCTTTCTTCAAATAGTCAGGAAATGAGTAATGGTGTTTTTGAACTAGGTTCATCAGTTTCTTCTCCTCTTCAGTTCCACCCATTTCCTTCTTGTTCAGGATTTGGTTCACCGTTTGAAGAGACAGTGGGAGGACAACTAATTATGAGTCCAAAGAGAGGGGAGAGAAGTGCTGAGGATTTCCTGGTAGGGAGGAATATTGTGGGAGATCAAGGTGGGAGAGATGAAACAACCAGAGATTTCTTAGGGCTAAGAGTACCCTCACATGAGGAGCTTTTCAGCTTATCAGGTATGGAGACTTGCATGGGCTCTTCATCATCCTTCGGGTAGCCAAGGAGAATATATATGAGCAGCCATGACTACCAACCAGTGCTACAAGCTAGGTCGAGCAATTTAATATTAAATATTAAATTTTAATCACATTTTTCATTAAAATGGTGACTAAATTGAGTAACACTTTTATCTTCAGAAGAAGAGATCTAAATATTAATGAAAATTTTTTTCTTTATCTGCAGAGATTTGAACAGTTCCATCTTCTCCAATAGGGGACTCAGATAAGAGAGAGGCCTGTACGCACCTGCAGTATGGGGAGCATTTCCATGCACAGTTAAATTTCTCCCTACTCCATTCTTAATTAGTTGTATTAAAGATCATCATTAATTTGACGTTAATTACTGTACATATCGATAGATCTTTGCAATGAGTTTACTGAGCTTTTTTTTTTTAAGTATATATTAAGGTTTTCACGTGCATGAACCTGACAAGGCATATGCAATGAAAGGTTGAACAGAACGAGCTTGTGATTTTATGTTGGCTGTATCTGATTTAGCTTAGTTCGTCGTGGTCTATGCCATCTGCTGTAGCCTTTAGAGTTCATATATGTATATAATTGTCAGGGGAATCAAATGGCAGAAAGGTTTTATTAATTGCATCAATCTAGTCGACAGCTACCTCGATGTTTAACCCAGTTTGTTGTTTGGTCATCTACTGGTGGTTTGATGTGTTGCTCAGTATGATGTTTGGTGCTCAATTCATGGTCTTTGTCTGTTCGGGACAATGGTGTGGAGGTTAGTTTGGTTATCTGTTGGTAGTTCTCTTGTGCTTTTGTGGCAATATTGATGAGTTCTCTTTGGGCTCCAAAGTTGGCTGGAGCTTGAGCTTATTCTTCGATAATTGTTGGTGCCTACATAAGCTTAAAGTTGTTTTGTATTTGGTTCATTTTTTGAGTGAGCTTTGCTTTACTCGTTTTAATTTGATAGGAACTTTGGCTCTTTAGGTTTTATTTTGAACTTTGTTAAGTACTTTTTGGGCTTTAGCAAGCATTTTATCCTTTATGAGCTTGTAATCTATTTTCTTAATCAACATATACGTAGGCTTCCCTGTGAGTTTTATTCTTAAGAAAAAAAAAACTATTAATTTTCTAGAAAAATATGTAGTGATTATAGTTATGGTTATGATAGAAGGAAAAAGTGTTTAATAGGTTTTAAAAATTGATCTTTCTTTTCAGTTTGGAATTGGATATAATTTTCGCTTAAATTTTTTTTGCTCGGATTATTTTAGGAATATAAGTTATAGTCACATATTCTGATTAATAGAGATTTTAATTTATGCCTTTAACTTTTGAGGGGTATTTACATTAATTCATAGCACTTCAATTTTTTTCATCGATATATTTCTCCTAAAGTTCACTATTCACATAGCATAAAACCTAGTCTATGGAGTTAAGTTAAATTAAAAAAAAAAATACAAACTAATGAAGTCATGATAAATCTCATCTCTGGCAAGAAAGGTCACCATATGTTCTCTCTAGAGAAGACAATATCAGGATTAATTAACAACATGTGAAGTAGAAAAGGAGTACATGAGACTTACATATTAGGGAAAAGAAGAGGAGAAATGATTTTAAGATTTTGTTGGATTTAAAGTTTACATTTTTTGCTATTTGGTAAGATTTGGTAAATCTTGCTTGTGGACGAGACCAAAATTTTTTACGATATGATGAGGAAGTCGTGACGATCTCAAGGACATTAAGTTTTCTTACGGTACTAAATGTTATTTTTATTATTATTATTAAAAGCTTTATGTGTAAGTAAGTTGTAAAATTTATATGTTGGATATTTAAATAACAAATTTTGAGTGCTATATACATAAACCCCATATTTTTATGCTAAAATGATATTTTTTAAGCACGCTTTTAATTTTGTAGTCATATTTTTTAGATGTATTTATATTGCTTCAATGATTAAAATTTTAGCCATAGTTTTGTATAAAATTATAGTTTTAATGAATTACTTTTATATATAGCTAGAAATATTTTAAAGAACCTCAAAATCATTTAGCTAGCCATAAGTCATAATTCAAAATTTTAAGAAAATTGGTAGAAGAAACAAAATTTGTAATCATACTTTAAGAAAAAATATGTGAGTTATAATTATTAGTCACATTCTAAAAAAGATGAGCAAAACTTCCATTTTTTTAGTGTTAAAATACTTAACTTATTTTCTTTTCATCCATTCCTAAAAAAATATATTAGCAAATTATATTCAATTTGCTCACCTCCCACATTGGCCCTAGTGTCTCCTCCCTGTGTTATGTTCATCCTGCTTGAGCCCAACTTGTTGCTAGCTAATCACTACCATATTGTGTCCAGATTGCCACATGTGTTCCCTATCATTTCCATATCTTTATTCATAAACTTGCATCAGCCTTAACAAATATATCGGTTTCTATCTATCTCTCATCATGTATGCTATCATGTATTTGACAATAATACATCAATCGCTATCATATGAATTATGCATATATGTATATGTCATATCATTCATACTAAGGCAAGACATTCGGCTATATATTATGTGGTGTTTGCTAGCTCATTCTATGACATCAATGAATCTTTTAACATATGGCTTTCATTTAAGAGTCATAATTTTCTACTCATCGGCAAAATCAATCAATCGATCTTAAGCTCAATCCAGGATTACACTGCAAACCTTTTATTTCAGGAAAAGTCTATCGGGAAACCCTCATGTTTAGGGAATTCAATCTATAACCAACCCTCATCAATCATATTTATCATTTATAGCTTGTCTTTCTTATTTACAAACTCATGTCACATTGTTTATACCATATCATTAATGATTATCACATAACATGTGCATATGCAATACAAATAGCAAAACATATAGTATGCTCATCAGTATACATGTATTATACCAAAATATATATTAGACAAGATGAATAGTAAATTTATGTGTATTATGTATTTCATATTCAGTTATAGTATACTGACTCATGGTCATTTGATACTTATTATTACTCTACTCATTAATTTCAGATAAAATGACGACATATATGTAAAACCAACCAATAAAATCTCAATATAAACCTTTCAAAATATTCAAGATAATTGTTTATATCATATATCAAAAGGTATATGGTAAAAATTTACTAAATTAAGAGATATTACAATTTTATAAATTTTGGGAGATATTAAATCTAAAAAAAAAGGATTCGAGTTACGTATCATGATCAGAAGAAATCTCATAACATATAATGCGAACAAAAAAGTCCTGAAAGACTCTCTCTCTCTCTCTCTCTCTCTCTCTCTCTCTCTCTCTCTCT